GTCATCTGTCTAAGTTTTTCACACAGCTTTTTTCAGCACTTCCAAATAGTAAACTTGGTTAACTGTTTGTCCAGTTGGTACAAATTCATAATGAATAATTACTCTGATATCAAAAAAAGGTTAGGAATATGGTTGCAACACGTTCACAAACTTAATTGTCAGACCTTGTGTAGTCAATAATGTTGTAAAAACTATGGATGGTGTCAAATGAATACTAGATTTATTGGGAGGATCACTTCATAAATTGTACAAATGCCTAACTACTGTGCTGTACACTTGAAACTAATATAAAACAATATTGAATGTCAACTATAACTAAAATATATATATTTAATCACGGGATGTAAAGTACAGCATAGGGAGTATAGTCAATGATATTGTAATAGCTATCTACAGTATTAGATGGATAGTAGACTTGCTGGGGTTATCACTTTGTGAGGTGTGTAAATGTTTAATCATTATGTTATTTTGTACACCTGACTAATAAATAAATTTTAAAAGAAACAAAACAATAAAATAAAACTATTCTAAATATATGTATATACAGAGTGACAAAAAATATATACACATTTTAAGGAAGGAAAAAACTGTATTAAAATTGTAATACTTATTATACACCGATAAAAAACGATGAATACAAGTCACATTTGACTTCTGCAATTATAAGAGGTGCTCAAAGTGGTTACCATCAGAGTAATTTTAATACAGTTTTTTCCTTCCTTAAAATGTGTATACATTTTTTTGGTTCCCTGTGTGTGTGTGTGTGTGTGTGTGTGTATATATGTGATCTTTTTAAACACACACATATATGTACACACACACACACACACACACACATACATGGTGGGGAGGGAGTAAAAGGGTAGAGTGTTTGTATGTGATCAAAGTTAACACCTTAAATAGAATGTTGTATCTATAAGATATTTTATGTAAGTCTCATGGTAATCACAAAGCAAAAGCCTACAGTAGATACAAAGAGATAAAGAGATGGAAAACAAAGCATACTACTATGGAAAATTACCATTTCACAAAGGAACTCAGCAAAAGAGGAAGAAAAAACAAGGTACTGAAAAACAGCAGAAACTAATTAAAATGGCATTATTAAGTCCTTGCCTATCAATAATACTTTAAATGTAAATGGTTTAAATTCTCAAATCAAAAGGCATACAGTGGCTGAATGGATTTTTTAAAAAAGGCCAACTATATGCTGCCTACAACAGACTCACTTCGACCTTCAGGGTGCACATTGACTGAAAGTGAAGGGGTGGGAAAAGATACTCCGTACAAGTGGAAACCAAAAACCAACAGGGATAACTATACTTATATCAGATAAAATAGACTTTAACTCAACAGTTGTCATAAGAGCTAAAGAAAGTAATGATATAATGATGATGATATAATGATGAAGAGGAGACATTACACCTGATATCACAGTAATACAAAAGATCATAAGAAACCACTATGACCAATTATACCCCAACAAACTGGATAACCTAGAAGAAATGGATACATTCCTAGAAACATACAACCTACCAAGACTGAATTGTAAAGAAATGGAAAATCTGAACAAACCAATAACGACTAAGGAGATTGAATCAATAATGAGAAACCTTTCACCAAAGTAAACCCCAAAACTAGATGGTTTCACTGGTGAATTCTAACAAACATTTAAGAAAGAATTAAGATCAAACCTTCTTAAACTCTTCCAAAACCTGAAGAGAGGCAACACTCTCAAATACATTTTATGAGACCAGAATTACCCTCACTCTCTTTTCAGGTATGAACACTACAAGAAAAGAAAACTACAGGCCAATATCTCTGATGACTACAAATGCAAAAATTCTCCACAAAATTCTAGCAAACTGGATTCAACAGCACATTAAAAGGGTCACATACCATGATCAAGTGGGATTTATCAGTGGGATGCAAAGATTGTTCAACACACACCAACCAATAAATATGATACAGCAGATTAATAGAATGCAAGAATAAAATCATATTATCATCTCAATAGATGCAGAAAAAGCATTTTACAAATTTCAACATTCCTTCATGATTAAAAACAAGACAGAGTATAGGTTGCAAAGGATTATAAGGGAACTTTTGGGATGATGGAAATGCTCTATAACTTGATTATGGTTGTGGTTACACAACTGCATTATGTCTTGAAAATCACTGAACAGTCATCTTAAAATGGTTGCATTTTATTATGGGGAAATTATACTACAATAAAGTTGATTAATAAAAGAAAACTGCATTTCGGTGGCTGTGAAGCTGGAGAGATCCCAGCCAGCAGAAGACATCGGATCTCATCATCCTCCTATCCCTTCAACCATTCCCGGAGCTCTCAAAAAATGGTTTGATTCCCCCCACCTACTCCCCAAAAAAAGAAAGTTGCAAGACGAACCAGTTTTAACTATGATCTTTTGGGCTTTGCCTCTGAAACATTTTCCATTAATTAAACTAAATTTAGTTTTGTGTCAATACAAGAACCCAGTAATTTTTAAATTCCTACAGAGATTGAATAAATTGGTGTTGTAAAGAAAGGAATACTACTCAGCAATTAAAGGAACAGGCTACTGACATGTGTAAAAACTGGGATGGACGTAAGGGCAAAAGGCTTTGTGAAAAAAGCAGATCTCAGAAGTTACATGTTGTATGATTTTATTTATTGTCCTCTAAATAACTCAATTATGGAGAAAAGGCTAGTGGTCCCAGAAGACAGAGATGAAGCTGGGAGGGGATAGGGGTGACTACAAAGGGCTAGTACCAGGGAGTCTTTTATGGTGGTGGAGCAGGTCTGTATCTTGATGTGATAGTGGTGACATGAATCCACATAAGGGATCAACTTGCATAAATACACACACACACACACACACACACACACACACACACACACGCGCGCGCGCAAACACCACAAACACACAGTGCATGTAAACTGTTGAAAGCTTGATAACATCTATATTCCTGAAGTCTGGTTAACATTATTATACCAATGTCAATATCTTGGTTTTGCTATTGTATTACAGTTGTGAAAGATGTCACCATGGTAGGAAGCTGATGGATTTCAAGAGACTCCATGCATTATTTTAGCAATTTCCTGTGAACCTATAATGATTTTTTTTTAATGTTAAAAATAATAGATGCCTTCTCCAAAGCATAATTATAAGTTAATACATATGTGGGAATACTAAAGTTGTATTTTTTTTTAAGTGGAAGCCTATGAACAGTAATTTTTCATGTAGATTTTATTTTAACCTATTAAAAACAAACACTTGTTGAGTTAAAAGAACCTAAGGTAATTAAATTTCTATTAAATAATAGATCATTCTTATATTAAATAACATTATTAAACAATAATCTCTGAAATGAATTAAAAAGATCCTTTTGTTGATCTCAATAAAATTTTCATAAACACTGATGATTTAAAGGGTCTCAACTATTTTAAAAAAGCACAATAAATAAACTTTACTGTAATGTTCATAAATCTTTATGAATGGAAATCTTTAAAACTAACATGTTACCTAGAATTATAATTAGTGAAATTTTCAATAACAATTATTTGCATCTTTCAAGGGGACAGCAGAGAATTTTCTCCTATGCCCTGGGAACTGTATAATCTCTGATGGGAAATTATCATTAACACCACAATTAAAGTAGAAACACAGACACCACTTTCTTCCCTGAAGAGCTTATCAGGATGGGGACATCCTAGGGGAGAACTATGACTGGATTGCTAATCACATCCAAAAGAATTATAAACCTTAAGCAAATGCCATAGCTCTATGATATGGTGGCTCGGATGTAGCTTGTGTTTCCTTTCACACTCTCTTTGTAAATGTACAGCTGAAAGTTTGATCTACACCTCAGAGTGACCCTTGGAACATTCAGACGTTGACATCTATGCTGTGAATCTTTTGCTAATAAAAGGAGAAGATTTATGATTACATCTGCTCAACTTTGATCTTGGAAAAGCCAGTTTTTCTTCTGGGACAGTGGAGGTGAAATATGTATAAAGGGTCAGCACTGAGTTCTGTTAATGGAAGGAGAATGAGTTAATCAGGTTTCTTTTTTATTCTCACTCTCTCTGTTGCTGAAAAATGAGGGAATGTATCACTATCGAATAATAAGAAAGTGAAACTAGGGAACCTAGAGTACTGCCAGCATTCTCAGCATACCTTCTCTGTGTGGGCTTCACCTCAGTCTGGGAGCACACAGCTATAGCAGTTCCAAGTGACATATTCAAATTGTAGCAACATCAGAAGAAGAAGAGACTTTTCTCTTTTTAAGAAAAATTTGAATTGAAATATACTATACAAACAGAAGAGTTTATATGTTATGGGTATAAATATTGATACATTTTTATATACTTCACAGCTAATTTAATCAGTGCTAAATTAATTATGTTTCTCTTTCATGCCCTCTTACAAAAAAACAAGGGAAGCACATTCACCTTTCTGTCTTCAGTCTCCATCCAGCTAGGATAAAACAGAGGAGGAAAAAGTGTAGAAACATGGGATTGTATGCTTAATTATAAATCTGTAAGTTACCAAGGCTCTATGGATTCTAGTAGTCAAGTATCCGGAAACTACAGATCGTGAGAGTTCCTTCTAAGGACGCACAGTACCTGTATGGTCACAGCCTTGGAGGAATTCTCTCTTTCTTGATGGTAACAATAGGGGAACCGAGGTATCTACTAGGGAAGTTTCAGATCAATGAGAGGGAGAGGTGAGGGATACACCCCCACTACAAAAGGTCATCAGCTACTCCATTCTTCTATCTGCTAGTGGGGACAGCACAGCTGTTTGTTCCTATGAAGACAAAAGACAGGGCGATTTAAATATTGAGGGATGTGTTTGGCAGTACATTCAGACACTTAGGAGGGTCTTAATTGATTTCAGCCAGTCTGAGTCTCCTTCTCATTAAAGAGTTTGTAAGAGAGAGCTGATTGCTCTATGAATGGAATTTTCATTTATCTTCACAGATTTCTGAAGCTGAGGATGCTGACTAGAAATGACTCCTTAGTTACCGAATTTATCCTTGCTGGATTGACAGACCACCCAGAGTTCCAGCAACCACTCTTTTACCTGTTTTTAATGATCTACATTGTCACCATGGTGGGCAACCTTGGCTTGATCGTGCTTATTGGTCTAAATTCTCACCTGCACACTCCCATGTACTATTTCCTCTTCAACCTATCCTTCATTGATCTCTGCTACTCTTCTGTTTTCGCCCCCAAGATGCTGATGAACTTCGTATCAACTAAGAATATCATCTCCTATGTGGGGTGCATGACTCAGCTGTTTTTCTTTCTCTTCTTTGTCATCTCTGAATGCTATATGTTGACCTCAATGGCCTATGATCGCTATGTGGCCATCTGTAATCCATTGCTGTATAAAGTCACCATGTCCCACTAGGCCTGTTCCATGCTAAGTGTTGCTGCATATATGATGGGATTTGCTGGGGCCACCGCTCACACTGGGTGCATGCTTAGACTAACCTTCTGCAATGTTAATGTCATCAACCATTATTTGTGTGACATCCTCCCTCTCCTCCAGCTCTCTTGCTCCAGCACGTATGTCAATGAAGTAGTTGTTCTCATTGTCGTGGGCATTAATATCACAGTACCCTGTTCTACTATCCTTATTTCTTACCTCTTCATCCTCACTAGCATTCTTCATATCAAATCCACTCAAGGAAGATCAAAAGCCTTCAGCACCTGTAGTTCCCACATCATTGCTATTTCTCTGTTTTTTGGGTCAGCAGCATTCATGTATCTTAACTATTCTTCTGGATCTATGGACCTGGGAAAAATTTCTTCTGTTTTCTATACTAACGTGATACCCATGCTCAACCCCTTGATCTACAGTTTGAGGAACAAGGATATCAAAGTTACACTGAGGAAAGCCCTGTTTAGACTCCAGGGAAAAAAATATTTTAATTAGAACCAGCAATAATGTACAATTTTTAAATTTTCATATTTTTATTGTTGTTCTTATAAAGATTTTGTTTATAACCATGTTGCTCCTAAGATTGTATTATGTGGTTTAATAAACATATCTTATAATTTTCCTTTTAGCCGATCTTGTCTCATTTTTTTTTGCCTTCTTGTGTCTTGAACCTTGTACCATTTACTTAATAAGACAATGTTTATAAACAGAACAAATATGCTGCCCTTTTCTTCATTCATCCCTCAAGAAGCTGTAACTTGTTAATGATAGAAACAGTACAAATTTCAAACCTAGCTGTAATTACTCGTTTGAAACACCAAAAAAAAGTCCTCATTTTTAGATGGTTACATTGTTAATTCCATAATAGTGTTTACAATATATTACTATTGTTTTCCAGTACTCGGTCTACCTTTGCTCTCGACACTTTTGCTTGTGACTTGACCAATTCTATGTTCTTTTTTTTTTTTTTTAAAGATTTTCATTGGGGAATTGGGGGGATGGGAACAGTGCTGGGGAATTGGGGGAAGGGGAACAGACAAGTTGCTGTCTTTTTGTTCTTCAGTCTAGTTG